TCAATAATTTTCAACCTGACTAAACTGAAACAAATATAAACCCTGCACAAAATCTACCACAGTAAAACCTCAGCCTCGACAACTTTCAGAGAATGCTTTAAGCCTAGTCTACTCAATTTTAGTGGTAATATGAGAGAGCACCAAGTTCCCACTATTCAGGATTCATTCTGTGGGTTCATAATTTGCTTTCAAGTTGTAAAAGCAATTTATTAATGTATTAGAAAAAGCATTTGCTTTTTAAATGTTTAGCAAATAAAAGAGATCAGTCTACAGTGCAAATGAGCAAAAGCCAGCAAGTAAAAACCATATATAACAGAACAAAGAGATAACTGAGCCAGATGACCTTTTTTTCTCAACTGCACTCAGCTGTATATATATGTATACATAACCTGTACAGTGTATATATGTATTCCAGTACAGTGTCCTGCTACTTCTATGTTCTAGTGGTTTCTCCAAGGGTTTGTATAGTAATCTTCTGCTTGTGTCCTGCTAGCAGTGCAAGTGGAACATCATTCAAATGAAAATACCGAAAGAACACTTGAAATGAAGATTTTTTTTCCTCCGGGAGTCATGCTTTTCTTCTGATGAGTGCACTTGATAAAATACATTCCATCCACCCACAGGCCCCTGCCTTCTCTGTGTTCCACTGATAACGTGACCCACCACACTGAAAGTGTATTATTTCCTGAAAAGCTGTAGGCAAACATGATGATGATGATAAGAAAAAAGAAGAATTAATGTTAAGCAGAATGGGAGAGAGAGAAATGGTGCATATGTATGAGAAAACAAAAAAATTAAAGTGTGCTGAGAGTTGGATTTAGTAAGGGAGGTGAAGTGAGTGCATATTCCTTTTAAGATGTCTATATCATGGAATACAAAGGAATAATTCTACCTGCATTGTCAGTCAATTCCTACCAATTTGTGACATATGAATGGGGGAAATGACAATAACCACATCAGCACAAGTTTCATGTTAGTGTAATGGAGTTCATATTTTGGAAAATGTGAGAATACGCAAAACAATCCTTTTCAAAAATAAGTATATTTTCTTCGAGAGAGGACAAAGGAAATACACAGAGATAAAAGGTAAGGATATTTCATTTAAATAGAACTTAACTAGTTTTAACATAATTCCAATATTTTTTTTAACATATATCTATGTAAATACACACACACTCTTTTCATCCATTTGCCCTTTTCACAACTATGTAAGAAAATGGTATTTAAGAACAAATCATTGGTGATAGCATTTACAAGCAAAACTAGTTAGATTTTTAATCAAAGATGGATTGAGACAAGAAAATTATCCTAGCAGTATTTGTCAAACATATGACAGTGCTCTCTAATTGACTTCAACAGGGGCAGATTACCTGCTATATGCTTTATTTAATGTAACTTTAAAGTGTTACTCATTGCCAGTCATATCACTTCTTGGAGCAAACACTTGTTTTAGCTGGAGCGCACCTTGAGAGAACCATCAGGAAGAAACCTGTGCATCACTTAAGCTCTTGTGCACTGCTAAATTTCACTTTTTAACCTGTCCTAAAGTTTCCTCTTCAAAGTTATTAATGGAAGGAAATACAGCCTATTTCAAAAGGTCGTATTTTATACACTCATGTTTTTATGTTTTTAGCTGGCTTAAAGTAATCTGTTTTGTGCAAAGTGTTATATTTTGCTCCTGACTAAACATCAGCTGATAACCAGCAACTTTGGCCCTGAATAAATGACTCATTTTCCTTCTGTAATTTATATACTGTTCTCTCTTCTCTGAGCAGTATCCCACAAGTCATTGCCAAATTGAGCAAGCTATGGGCCTACTGGTGACAAGAGAAAGAAGAGTGCTCATTGTTAATGGATAGGTGACTAATAAATCAAAGCTGGAACTTGGGCATCAGCATTCATGTATTTTAGTATGCTGGATGAATTTGGAAGTGTGAAAAATAAGAATGCTTTGGGGATATTCTGCTTTTATTTACTCCCAATTCTGCTTTTATTTACTTCCAATCACATCTGAGTCAGAAATTTAAGTAATCTAGTATGTGCAAATGACAACTTAGTGCCCAGTTTTGCCTATGAGGCTACATAGTAAACACCCATGATAGACTATTCAACCAGATGATGAGTTTATCGTTTGTATTGTAACACTCATCACTTTAAAAATTATTAATTATCCTCTAGAGTCTGACCTATGCCCTACAGAAATGTTTAGACCTCTACTTAACTCTTTTAGATTGATTAATTTAGCTAAAGCTTTTTATGTTTCCTTCCAATCATTACAAATGTCTCATATAATATAGTTAATTTCAGGACTGTAGAAATGTGGGCTGTTTCCCAGAACTTGCAGGTGTGGTGATAACTTTTCAAAACAGCTGCAAAATAGCAACCAATCTGCCATCTCTGGTATTATCTTTTACAGTTATAGCTGGTGAGAGGCTAAGACAGTTCAAAACTTACCTGAACTGGACTGGATAAGACCCCAGTCTGACTTAGATTATGTCAATAGCTATCATGTACAACATGAATTACAGAGGTTTTATCTATTCTATTATGGTAGGCTGTTGAAGCTTCTTCAGAATAAATCATACAATTGTTTTGTGCTGTCTGATGTATCAGTTTACACCAACTAGTAGTAATAACTGGGTATGTAATAGCTAGTACTTAACTAGCTACAAGTCTTGTGTTGCAGATAAAGAAAAATTCCAAGGCAAATCATTCAATAGCTTTGTTAAAAAATCATTGTAACAACATTATTATTATGAGAACATCAAAAATTTTATTAGGTTTCCAACCTAAATGATTCTGTGATTCCATGATACTGAATGTTTTGTAATTTTTTTGCACTCTATTGAAATGGTTCTTGCTACAAGTGTATTAACTGCTACTTAAATCTTAAAACCATCTTATTTGATGTATTAGCTCTTATCAGTCATATTCTTATCTCTAGAATCTAATTTTTTCTTGATTTCCATAGCCTTATTATCAGATCTCCTTTTAGCTTTCTGATCATCACTTCAGTAAGTGTTTTAGAGGGATCTTGCTTGATACAGCTGTGATCTGGTAGCATGGACTGGATGCCCAGTAGCAGCTGAAGCACTGCTTGGAGCAAAAGCTCAGGTGCAATTATTGAATGCAGGGTCAGGTTCCTTTCATCTGAAAGTTTATGAGCTCCAAGACTGCTCTGCCATGCAAGCTATAGCCCACTAAGTGATCATCCTCCTGAAAGAAGCACTGTGCTTTCTGCTGTGCTTCCTCTCATGATTTGAACTGTCTTTTGGCAGAGGCCTCTAAAAAAGCTTGAGAATTGTTTAGGTGTTTGTTAATCTACTAAGGCAGCAGCTACCATGCTGACTAGTTGCCTGCCTCTTTTAATTAAATTGCAGACTTTTTGAGATGTCATCTACTCTTTTCCAGTGGAAAAGATAAATTGATGCAGTGGATAATAATATTTTTCTTATAAACACAAATTTATTATGATTTTTTTTCCTATTGCAGCTCGTCCACTGTCATGTATTTTTTCTATTTCCAGAAGATTTCTCATGTCTTTGTTGCATCAGACATCTGGTCAGTATAGCTCAGTTACAAGACAAGGATTGTAAGAACTGTTTCAATTAGCATAATCTCCCAGTCACGAACAGTGCGATCTTTGTAATTGGAAAGGAGAATTATATAAGGTTGCTTCTAGACATTGTAGTAATTCTGGAGTTGTGTGGTTGAAGGGAGAAGTGAGGGTTTTTTCCTGCACTTAAAACACAGAATTAAAATGCCTTAAATACTGTTTTATTATTTAATACTATGCATTCATTTCTTCACTGGGATACAGACCTACGTTTAACAGAGTGGCGTAACTGGCCAGTGGAGGCTCTGGTGGCTATGAAAAAGACACAAGAAGATGTGAAAATGGCCACACAGTCAAGATAGCAGCATTTCCATGTTCAGCTCTACTGGCAAACTTAAAGGAAAAGCTGGAAGGCAGCCATGAAGTGACAGAGGAGAAAATCCCCTCTGCTTAAGCTCTGTCATCCTGAAGACTGACCAGGATGTGTTTTGCTCAGTTCACTACTAATGTAAGACAGTGTGACTACTCTCCATAAGACCAGCCACTATTTCTTATGCCTCTGTGTCCCCAGCCATAAAAGATTGTTGGGCAACTTATGGGTTGATTTGGGCTTTTTTGATGTATTTTGGTAATAGCTGTAAATTAGGAACTAGTGTTAGGGAGAAAAAATTTGAGTGAAGGTACTGGTACTGTACAAACCAGGATCCCACTCACCATTCAATATGGCTTAAGCCTTCCAGTCTGCTCTTCAGAGACACTTTGATCTTTCCCTTGACAATACACAGGTGCTTAAGGAGAAGTTAGGTCATCAAAAATACTGTTCCATGTATTTTTCCATGTATTTCTATGGGTCATATGGGTTTTGTGTAGTAGATCTTTGCAGACCTAGACAAGAACATTACATTTACTCTTTTCTAGTAGACTTCCCATTCTTCCAGAGCAAACTTCAACTGCCTCTAGCAAATTTTATTAGTTGATATTTAGATTTATAAGAAGAAAAGATAAAATATTTTTTCTTGCACATTGTCATCCTGAGGGTGCTTACGTAAAGACACAGCTTCAGATTCTTCTTTCAGATTTTCTGAAAGCAAACCCTGTGTTTTTCCTGTGCCATTTTCTCTTGTGGAGAAAATAAGAACTCTTTTAGTTCTGATACAGATTAGCCACTTTGAACTTGTACCTTTGTTCCAAAGATTGTTTCCTGCTAAGACTGAACCTCTCTCTGTCTGTTGTACATGTACGTTCATGGTTTATCTGTACTTTGGGATTTGGATCTCTCAACAGCAGTGTTGTTGCCTAGCAAAGTCTGTTATTACCCAAGACTAATACAGTATGTGTAGGTAAAGCAGATTTTAAATTTAAAATGACAGTCCATGTGCCCTTTTTAGCAATTTATTAGTCACTGTTTATACTGACCCGTATCCCTTTTGTTTTCCCTACTCAGATGTTGCAAGAGCAATCGAGTTACTGGAGAAATTGCAGGAATCTGGAGAAGTACCAGTACACAAGCTACAGTCTCTAAAGAAGGTGTTGCAGAGTGAGTTTTGTACGGCTATCAGAGAGGTATGAATTTGAGATTTATAGTTATTTCTCAGACTAACATTACTCAGTAGAGAAAAGCGTATTTGCCTTTCAGTGCTACGTTGTATAAAGGATGATGGATGTGAGATCTGTCTGTAGCTGCCTGCTACTGTGCAGAACATAGAAGTTACTGAAAAGCAGACACAGAACAGTTGCGTCAGCCAGACATCAGGGCTGAGGCAATCAGCCTTGCTGAGGAGAGTGATTAATTAGTACTTTAGGGTTCTGCTCACATTGTTTGAGGGTCTGTGGTAACCTGTACAGCACTGCGCTGGGATATGGGGTCATGCCAGTTTTGGTCAGTACAAGCTTGAATGCCTCTCCTTTGAGCTCAGGTGTGTGATAGGGAGGTACTGATAAAATCAGAATGCAGTGATAGCCAAAAGGGGCAAGACTGAAGTTAACTGAACTGACTTAAAGACTCTTACCTTGGAAGACAGTGGTTGAGTCTGCATGTCAGTGGGCTTTGCTCCTGCTGTGAGAAATCCTTGTCATACTGCTATGAGCTGTGATCATTCCACTACCAGCTGTGCTCAGGGCCTTCCTAAGCTCTGCCCAACAGTAGATAAATAGTAATTGTTTTCTTCTAGTCAAGCTAGAGAAGATGCACCACAGTTCTACATGCACACAAGCAGTATCTTTAAAGCAATTAAACTACAAACACTTCTGTTGGAAGTTTATTAGAAAGAAAACATGGTTTAATACAACATTATGTCAGATATTTTACCTACTAAACGAAGGAGACTCTTAGCCTGCTGAACAGAAGCAGCTCTAAATGCCCTAATGAAGGCAACATCTTTTTAGCAGAAAACCTTTAAGAACTTCTGTTTTAGTTTGTCTGTCTGCTGCCTGGAACTAATCCTCCATTGCTGAAATCAATGGGGAATCTAATGTTCCCTCAATGGTAGCAAAAATTGAGCTCCTGATAACTAGGCAACAGGAGCAGATTGATTGAGTGGACTGCTGAGTGGCTGAAAGGAAAAAAAAAGAGATGAACTGACATTAGTTTAATAAGCAAAATGGAATATACTCTTTGTTTTATGAAATACATTCTTCAGTGTGAGAATCAGAGAGAGGCTCCCACCTAATTAAATTGCAGTTTTCAAGACTTTTTAAAGGGAGCAGTGTTCCCTGAAAATAAATAACAAATAGTGTTCACTGACAATAAATAATGGCACTGTGTACCCTCAAAAGCTGATATTTTAACTAGTCCTTTCATTTAAGCAAACTAAATGCTTCTTTAAGTAACCACGGAACATAGAAAAGTTGTGGGATTGATTGGGGTTTTCTTCTGATAGCTGGGCCTGGTACTCCAAATGTTAAAGGCAGCTTTGAGTCTTTGCAGCACTGTCAATGAAATCTTAACAAATTTATATTAGTCTCAAGAAAACAATTTTAGCAGAAGCAAAAACAAAATTTAAGAACAAGGAAGTTGGCTTAGAAAAATGCTTTCTCAATTCAATGAACTGAAAGTAGATCTTAACAAAATCATCTCAGTGGCACAAAAGGTCTTCACAGAGTATTGTGTAAAGACAACCTGTGACTGGAGTTAGTTGTTACACAAGAATTGAGAGATGATGATTAATAAACAGTTCTGCCAACTTCATAAACAAAAAAATGTATTTCTTACTAAGTTTATATATAATGTATCTTTCTAACATATCACTAGCAGAGAACAAAATTTCTACACGCAAAAAATTTGTACCATTCTCTGAAATGTGTGTAAATCTTCTTTTAGAACAAAAAATTCAAATAGAAAAGGCCCACCCAATAATAAATCTTTTCATTTAGGGAGAGTGGGAGGATTGACATATGTACCTTGTGAGTACTTAGGGTTGTTCTACGTGTGGCTGCTCCTTTCAGCTACATTAAGTCCTCGGCAGATATTTAGACTGTAACGCTCTTTTTTCCTACCAGTTGAAGAGCTGTTGCAAAACTTAGAAAATAATTGCTTCTATATTAAAAAAAATAAAAGCATAGAATATTTTGGTCACATTACATTGTTAGCCGTCTCCAAACACTGCAAGAGGGATTGGGAAGGTATCTGAGCTGTGTCATGTCATTAATCAGGGATGCCCTTCTTCTATGTCCTTCATGTACACTGGAATTTATTGAATGGCGCAGATTTTTCTGTGTGCTTGAGATAGCTAAGGCTAGACAGAAATTTCTCTACAAATGCTCTCTCCTACTGTTCATCTTTTCTTACCTTAGTGCAAGATGTGAGAGTATGGTGACTAGATTTTAATTTTCTTTATTAGCGCCTACACAGACTAGAGGAGAAAAATTGTTGGCATTACAAGAGAATGCACGGCAGCCAGTTGGAAATAATGAGAAAAGTGGGAGTGAAGCAGACCGAGTGTGAGCTGTAGGTAGGAGTAATCAAAATGGGATGAAGAGATAGGCTTTGTGTTAGTATGCAAATTCTGAAAGAGCCTGCTTTTTATATATATGCAGATATTAAGCTCTGCAGTGTGCTGTGTTCATTCTATAATGCAAGATCTAAGACTTATTTTCTTTCATCAGAAAATCTAGTAAAAGAGATTAAGGCTGACTTTTGTAGTTCTATAAACACCATAATGGAGGAACTTTGTAAAATAAAAATTTTCATTTTCCAGTCAAAGAAATTATGGAAACTTCACTGTCCAGTGAGATTGCTTGTTAAAATAAGTCCCAGAGAAACTCAGCATTGGGCAGAGTGTAGGTGAAAGGATCAAAGATGAAATGCAATATGCCCTGTACTAACTAAATGTGTCTTTTCTGTTCTACAAGTAGGAATTCTTTAACTACAGAAGCAGGAGGTTACTTTCATGACTCATTAGCCTTTAAAAGTATGAGGTATGATATTAGATGGCATACATTCCAGTTGAATGTGTAGGAATCTATCTAATGGCTGTAATTAATTGTATTTATGGGAATCTATTTAGTAAATCAAATTTCAAATCCCTACACTAATATTTCGTAGAAATATTTTTTTTTTAAGTGACTGAATGAATGAAATTTAAATAGAAGTATTTTAGCATTTTTCAAGGATGCTATGTTAGGAAATAGTGATTAATGGTTCTCACTTAGCTAAATATAAGTGCCACCAACTGAAATATTCTGTCTGGCACTAGGCAGGAATATGGATATGCTCTGAAAGTAATGGAAATAATTAAAGTGTATAATGGCCTCAGTATTTCTTTTTCACCTGAATACTCCTAGACCAGAAAACAAGTTAACCAAAATCTGATCAAACTGAAAGTTGGTTTGAAAAAAAAATTAATTTTGTTTTAAAATTAGTTATTTTAAAAGTTCCCTAGCTACATGAAGATGAATTAGGCTTCTATAGCTTTGTCATCTGATAAAACTTGCACAAATCTTTTCCATTATACCATTAAGACCTTTAGCCTTCTAAATGCTTTTGCTGTTTATTTAAAGCGGTTGTTATGTTATAGTCATCTGATTTCCAAGGGGTTACTGGAATAAATGAAAGGCTGTGAAAGTGAATGCATAATTGAGCTACTGAGAAGTTAAATTAATATGCAACATGAAACTAGGCAACCTATTTGATAAAATTACTTTAATTTTCAGCAAAAGGAAGTTGTAAGAACTGTAAGATAAGGTGAATTTCTGGTCTGGCAAGAAACCCTAAAGACCAGTGGGCACAGATGATAGAATAAAAATCTGAGCAAAACACTGTGGATCGTCAACAAGAAAATGTGTCACGCCTTAGCAGCTTATGTGAATTTCATTTGCTGCTAACATCTGATAATTGGTGGTCAAGTACCAGAAGAATAACAATACAGTTTAATAAACACTTGCATCTCCTGGTGAGCAAAGTTTACTTTCAGGTTGATTCCCTGATTTCTGTGTGTTGAATATGTAATATTCAAGTGTCTTTTGTTTTTTCTCCCAGTTTGCCTTTGCTACTCAATTTTCCATTTCAAGGTTAAATCGAAAGTTTTTCTGTGTGGATATTGTTTGAAAGAAGGTCTGATTAGGAAATACCTATGGTGAATCAATGCCAAAATAAATCAGATAAAAATGTAGTGTGGTAACCAGACACATTATTTTATATTGTTATGACTCCCACCAAAATATCGCGTCATCACAGAAAAGCAATTCTGTAGGATTCAGTCACTGACAAAGGAGGAGCAATCAACACAAAGTACTCTATTCTTGTCCATCTTGTATGAAATTAGTCATTGGGAAAGCATGTTGTCTTTGAAAATAGTTCCGTTCCTACCTCAGTAGTTTAAAACCTTTTCAAGCTTGCTATAAAATATAAACAGAGCATCCTGGACATTTAAAGACCCCTGTTGACTTACAGACATAAAAATGGCAATGGCAGAGCACTGACCCATATTTTTCATGAGGTCCTGATCCTCCCTAGTTACTTTAGAGATACACTTGCTCATGTTGTATAGTATTAACATCATAGTTTCATTATATATTAGGTAGGATAGTTTAATAAGCTTAGTCAGTATTTGGGAATTATTTCCTTTAATTACTAGTTTCATTTCCATGCCTTAGCGATCTAAATGCCCAGTATCCTAGTGTTGCTGATGTGCAATGTTTTTTATCTGGTCATTTCCTCAAGCTGCCCACCCACACTTTCCCTTATTAACCCTGATATATGGCTTTGCAAATATTAAGGGACCAGAAGAAGTCTGCTGGGTGGTGACAACTGAATCTGGTGGTACTGTGCTTATCACTATATTGTGATGCCATGTGTGAGAGCAGAAGGCTGGCTGGAACCTTTAGATGTTCATTCACTTCAGATGTCCTAGTGTGGTGGTGTACTCCATTTTTACAGGGCTATACTGAATATAACAATCTGGGTATTAGCTGGACTCAGGCAAAAATCCTCATTTATTTTTTATTCAATTATTAATTTAATATTTTAATGTATGAGTCATTTAAATACCTGTTTTCATTGTGTTTCAATAATCTTAAAATTTGTTTGTTCAGTCTGCAATATAATGCTGTCACTCCACATCCCA